TTTTCAGTTGAGTACTGATTCACGGGGGATGTCTTGCAGGGAGTGTCCTATAAGTACACTTGAGGGAACGTTGAGTTCTTGTCTACGGAAACTTCAATGCATGGCGCATCGTTTCAAGTGAATTCAACTACTAGCATAAACTTAGTATCTATAAAAAAAGGTTGCATTACTAGCGAAAGTTAGCTAGGTGGAACGGTAGCGGTGGTGATGGTTGCAGCATTGCCTCGCTAGAGCAAACTGCGCACATAACGCGTTATGCATATTGCTGCAACGCGGAAAGAGCAAGACAGAACCACGAAGCCACGAGGAAAAACTAATCTGTATTTGGAGGTCACAAGAGCAGACGCTTGCATGTGGACTACGTGAGAGGTGTTGTAGCTGCATCTCGTGCTACTCAATTCAATTTCCTGTTTTTTCTGCCGGTCATTAATCGTGACAGTATAATCGTCTACCTCACTCGAGCCAAGATTGGAAAGTTTGGAGTACGAGTTCCGACGCGCCATCGGCATATTACTCACCGTTCTGTCGACCAAGTGAGATTATTTTTCGAAACTGTAGTCATAGGCGAGAATTGTGTATCAGTGACCATTAGGACTATAAATTTATAGGCCCGTGTACTCAGATTTGGGTGCACCTTAGAGAACCCCAGGTGGTGAAAAATTCCGGAGCCCTCCGCTACGGCGTCTCTCATATTCGTATGGTAGTTTTGGGACGTTAAACCCCATAAATCTAATCAGGACTATAGTTTGAACTGCTCTTACAAGAAAAACTTGCGCACGAAATAGTTGTAGTACTTAATGGCTGTTTCCTGAACAGTGAAGTTTAATGAAAGCGGCTACTGAAACTAGTTACTCCTGATACGCTTTTGCCCCGTGCCTTGAAACACGCTGCCAATGGAAAATGTAGTTTCGCAGCATGCTGCAGTTGCACGTTGCAGACACATTTTGCAAGTTGCTACACAAAACAAAGGCACGAACCTTGCGCAAGTGGGAATAATAGAGTAATATCACCGAGTGTAGCGCCACGTATTATCTTTCGTGTCAAAGTTCGAGTTCGATAGATGGGTCTCCCGTCAATAACCTCTTGTCGATCTCTAAGCAATGAGAACGTCGTCCAAGCTTCAAGAACATCAGCGCGTTATTTATCGGGTAGATGTCACAAAGCAAGATTTCATTGTTTTTAACAATCAAGTTATCTATAACGTTGTGCAAGCCTACATCTATGCGTTCAATACATCTTTACTCACGGCCTGTTATTGCCACTAGTGCGCGTTGAGCGGGTGAAATTGGATCGCTTAGTACGTTTTAAAGCGTACTTCTCTGCGTGAGAGTGGCTAGTGAAATGGTAAGTTTTCAAATCTTGCACACTTTCTTTGCAGTGAAGACTACTAGAAAAAAATGATAATAAAGAGTGTAAGTGAGTCATTTCGAGCCATCCCGACAAGCAACTTATACGATCCCCAACACTCTCGTTGAAATCTCTTTTGGGGTGCCATTGACTCTTTTTAGAGCCGTGTGACCCAAAAGAGCGTTAAGGTCCTTCTTTAGGTAAAGTCATCTACATCACAAGTCAAGACTCGTGGGAAAGACTCGCACATACTCGCAAAAAAAGACACGCAAAAAAATTGGGGCCATGGTAACCAGTATTCTGAAAAAAAATTTAAATACTGATAGGGCCTACAACTTCCCACTCCCGTTATGCAGCTTTTGAGTACTTGAAGTGAGGTGTGCTAAATTGTCGCAAACTGATCACCTGCATTGAAGCAGCTGACTGAAATAGTTGGTGCCGCATAATTAAGGTTAAAAGCGCGAAAAAAAAAAAATATGGCCCCGGATAGGAAACAGACGAGGCGAGCATTGACATTAAACTGAAATTTTATTGACTGTTATATTTTTATATATTCCTTATTTAAGTGTTTGCGCGGATATTTATAAGAGCTTTCTAGCCAATACAATTTCAGACTGAAGTCGGCGCTTGCCCCGTTTTTCGAGTCCGAGCCCGCGTTTTTTTTTTTCTGCGCTGTTAACCTTAAGTTAATTCTGCATTGACCGAAAATTATTCCAAATCCCCGAAAACACAGACGTTCGTGGCCGCTGACGGCACTCGCATGTAGGAAATCGCGAGACCCGATGCATCGTTTGGTATAACTGTGTCATTTGGACACCACTGAAGTGAACGTGAGAAGCCACGTAAAAATGAGCGCGTGCTTGAGAACGCCTTTTTTTCATGAGCCGCAAGGGTATCAGCTGCTGAAAAGAACTAGCGTGTGCTCTAAACATTCGATTAAATTCAATTTACATTTATTTCCACAGTAATGAAACTCTCACCGAACATACTCGGTGTATTTTTAATATTACACTGACAGCCTGCTGATCATTATCTTAAGTAAGCTGTATTTCGCGCGTATCGAATACAGCTGATAACTTCAACCGAAATCATCTATTGCATTCCTGTTTTATGTTTAAGGCTTTTTTTCTGTATACCGACCACGATTTTCTCCGAGTTTTCGGAGGAGAACAAAGCATGTAACTGATTGCTCCTGCCACTAGAGCTACTGTTTGTTGGTACGAAGAAGAGTGAATACCAAGGTATATGGTACAACTTAAGAGGTACCGAGGCCCCGCTCCGGCAAAGAATGGAGAGTAACACACTCAGAGGAAAAGAAAAAAAGGAAGAGAAAGAGTTACAAATAAAGAAATAAAAATGGCAGCATATCCACGGAGTGAATGATGGAGAGTGGGGCGAAGCATCCGTCCGCCCATTCGTTCTTACTTCCGTCCGTCCATGCGTGTGTCTGTGTGGCCGCCCATGCTTCCATCCGCCCGTCTGTGCGTGCATCTGTTCCTGCGTCCGCACGTCCATCTGTGTATCCGTCCCTGCGTTCGTCCATGCATCCGCTCCTGCGTCCGTCCATGCGTCCATCAGTCTGTGCAGCCATCCGTGCGTCCATCCATGCATCTGTCTGTATGTCCGTTCGTCCATCTATTCAACACTCCAAGTACTGCCATCTCACTCCTTTTCATCATATATTCCTCATATAGAAGCACCGCCATCCAGCGGACATTCCAAGGACTCAACGAGAGGAGGCACACGCACACTTTCTTACGGCTTGCGCTTCGTGTCTACTTCCCACCATTAACCACCTCGAGTTCATGGTATATACTAGTTCTCTCTATTCATGGCACTACGGCCCAACGCTCACTAAACCTTTCTAAAACCCAGGAGGCTACACCAACCGAGTATACCGTAGCAACCCTTTCTTGTAAGATAGTGCTCAATGTACATACCAATGGTTGCTAATGGGGAATGAGAGACAGGAGAATTCAGCTCTTAGTTAACGCGCACGCTGCGAATTTTCATTGTTCAACAATGCACAGGAGAAATCTCCCACCGGCACCACCTTGCAGGTCAAAACGTACGACTGGTTACGCACTACGAGGAGGGACGAACGGGTGCCGCTTCAAGGAGCTTTGTCTCTAAAATAAATTTTGCGCTTTGGACTCGTTTGGACTCAGGCTCACCAAAATTTGCCTGAGCCGATCTCATTCGAACTCACAATCACGAAATGTTTCTTCAGCCAGACTCACTCAGACTTGGGCTCACCGAAACACACTTGTCTCAGACTCGGACACACGGCTTGATTTAAAGGGGACCTGCAAGACTTTTTGAGCATGGTCAGAAAACTCTGCCGATCGGTAGTAGAGGCTCCCGACCACACGCAAGCCAAATAATACTGGGCAGCCGGCGACCTGGAATTCACAATAAAGGATAAAAGTCAGCAAAAAATTGCTTTCTCTTCTCTCCACAAATCACGGAATATGCCCAAATATGCACGTAGCAAGCCCATCTATCAGCCATCGGCTGATTTGAACATCACGTGCTCGCTCGTTACGGAGATCACCGCGGGAGGCCGCGACTTGCCCACGCGTGCGCAGGTGATTACCACTGATGAAGCCGCGCATTCGAAGAAAAAAAAGAAAAAAAGTGCTTAAGGACACAAGGCGTGCGTGACGTTTTTTATTTGCCCCTACCATACGTCCCTGCTTAGCTTCCAGCGCTTTCGTCGGGACGAGAGAAGAGAGAATACAATTGCAGCATGGGACAAACCTTCGTAACTCCACTAGCACTGCACGGACTCATATTAAATTTTTGCTCGGTTGAATGAATGAAGAAATAAGCTATTCCGGTGAATTAATTCCATGGTTACTTGAAAAAGTGTTCCAGGGCCCTTTGATTCTGACTGAGTCTGAATGAGTCGGCTCATAAGTGAGCTAGCCAACCCACTCATGGCTCACTGCTCTATACAAACGAGAAGATAGTGCCGAATTCAGTATGAATCAAACTGCACTAAAAATTGTATGAAATGATGTTGCTTTACCACTGCCTAGACAAGAGCCCGATAATATAAAACATTATGCGTTTCAAATGTTTTGGAGCCCTTTATTTAAAGTACGTGCACATGCACTGCATTTGATGGTAATAATTTCACACGTGCCGCAGCTAATTTAGTATTGTGTAGATATTTATTTCGGCTAGCATATGTCTCAATAGTTTTCATCACTTTTCATAGTTTTATCAGTAGTGTGATACTTGTTTTATCAACAAGTATCACAATGCGTTGTCTGAGCTTTCATTGTTGCAAAACTTCCGTCTAATTTCTACAAACTACGTCACTATATGCAGCATACTGTGCATTTGTTCAGTGCCAATAAGCTGCCACTAGTTAAATGACATAGACCTACTTTCTACTGATAGTAAGACTACTTTCCAGCGTTAATCACTTTAAGCTCCTAGCGTCTTTTCTGAATTGCACACATTTTCAAATAACCGTTCTATTTACTACAACTAGACGAATTGATAAAACGTGAGAGGGTTCATTATTTGTAGATATTGCTACTTTATTGTTGTCAAGGTTGGGAGGGCCAGACTTTTCATACCAAACAGGTTACGTCTTTAACATAGACTGCTTTCAGCCCAGGTGTTTCCGGCCATGACTTGCGAAAACCATCTATCGAGATGTCTGCGGACTCCACCTGAGCTACATATTCCAAGAACCAGTGGTCAGAGAAGCCCTCACGTACAAACCGAAGCCTGGCGACGTCTTTGTCGTGTCTTTTCCAAAAAGCGGCAGCACTTGGATGCAGCAGATCGTCTACGCAATTTACCACGATGGAACGAGACCAGAGGTATACACTTGCTCATGAAGGCTGGAACACTCGTTCAAGTCTTCTCAGTGCGCGTATGTGACAAATGACGTTGTCAGCTTGATATTGCACTTTTGCCGCGACAGGCGTACAACACCCATACGTTCCGATACCCTGACATGTAGCGAACATTTGAAGCAGACCAAGGTGCTTGAAGCCGACCTGAGGTTTCGTTGTTACATGCGACTTACGTTAGCCTCATATCCACACTCGCATCAGTAATTTGCCAGCCAAAGCATCATTGCTACGCCGTGGTTTCTGTTTGTGCGATAGTGCGAACATGTCAGAAAAATTTTGGGACCTTTTAATGAATTGAACACGATAGGTGTATCAGTGCTAACAAGTCAAGAGCAATCTCTCAAAAATGCACACGCACACGCGCGCGCACACACACACACACACACACACACACGCACACGCACACGCACACGCGCACGCGCGCACACACACACACTAACTTTTTTTGTCACTTACCTTCCTTCGATTCTCACTTTTCAGGGGATACTAAGTGTGCCAAAAAGAAAGAAAAATAGCGCGAACCCTCCAGTTTCTATATATTTTGGTTGCACTGACCTCGAGTTTAAATTCACTGCCATTGCGGCTTTTTTGCTCACAACACAAAATGCCCTCACCAACGCCTCCACCGATGCCGTACACTCTATGGAACGAACTCTTTAACGCTATCGTGTTGAACGCCATAAGGCAGACTGTAGAGCTTTATTGATATGGGTGGTTTAACGTCGCAAAACCACCACATGATTGTGAAATACACCGTAGTTCAGGACTCCGGAAATTTCGACCACCTACGGTTTTTTAACGTGCACCCGAATTCGGGCATGTGGGACTACAGCATTTTCGCCGCCATTGAAAATGCAGCTGCTGCAGCCGGGATTTGGTCCCACGACCTGCGGGTCAGTAGCCGAGTACCTTATTCACTAGACTACCGCGGTGGGGCGGCTTGTAAAAACATGTGGAGGACTCCTATTCGGTGAATATCGCGTTGGTGGAGTCTCTACTGGTACGAAATTACAAAATAACCTAGTTATTCCCTTTATAGAATAAGTTCCGAATTGATGATATTGTACAATGGTAAAACGGTATCTAGCCATCACATTTTTTTGGTTGGAATTTAAAATTCACCTAGTATCAACATTAAGCCACCATGATGCCATCTAAATCAGCTTCCGGAATCATTCTCCCAGAAAGATAAGCTAAAGAATTAGTTTCATATTGCATATTTCAAAGTGTCAAATATAGCTTTTCAAAGCAACGCAAAGATGACAACAGTGAGATTTTTTTTTAATCAGCACATTCCACGCACTTTTAAATAGGAACCCACGTTCGGATAAAATAGCTACAGTTCTTCATAATGATGTCACTTATAGTGACCCAGCTGACATCGCCGATCAGTTTGCAAACTTCTTCTTTAACGTCGAGCACACCCTACCTTTATTAAATGAAATGGCCTTAGATCGCCAACCCCATTCGTTCTTTGTTTCCCACAACTCCCGATGAAATAATCAGCGTTATAGGTACCCTAAACATGACGAGTGCTGGCCTTGACGGCATTCACCCCTCCCATATAAAAATGGTAGCTCACCTTATATCAAATGTATTCTCTTCAATTGTGAATTTAATCTTTAGAACAGGTGTTTTCCCGCATGAACTGAAGCAGGGTAAAATAATCCCTGTAAATAAAAAAGGAAATGCTTCGTTATTGAATAACTACCGCCCCATTTGCATCTTACCCTTCTTGAGCAAAGTAATTGAAAAACTGATCTGTACACGTCTCACAAATTACCTGAACAAATTTAATATACTATCGCCTTGTCAATTTGGCTTCCGTTCCGGCTACTCCAGTGACCTTGCGCTAATCTCACTTACTGACCAATTAAAAAAGGCTATTGACAACGGTTACTATGCGGGCAGCGTTTTCATCAACCTAACTAAAGCTTTTGATGCGATCAATCATCACATTCTTTTTAATAAACTTGAAGCATTTGGTATAACTGGCCCAACATTACTATTATTGCGTAGCTATCTCTGCAACAGGACACAGAAGGTGGTAATTTCTAATGCATATTCGTCAACCAAATTAACTAATACTGGTGTACCCAGGGGTCCAATCTGGGGCCCCTTTTGTTTTTACTCTATATTAACGATTTGCCGAAATGTCTTTCTTCATCCAGTAGTATAATATACGCCGACGACACCACAATTTTTAACTCCGATAGCAGCATTGCATCCTTAACTGGAAAACTAAACTTTGATCTGGCACAACTCGTTCGGTGGTGCAGTAATAACATGTTAGAAATTAACACGTCTAAGACAAAATTTCTTGTCTTCTCTTCACCACAAAAACCCTTACCTTCTATCCCTCCTGTTATAATTGCGCGCAATGACATCCCGTGAGCGACTGCTGTAGATTCCTAGCCGTTGAACTCGACAGTAACTTGAAATACCACCGACATGTTGCATATATTAGGAAAAAATGACGTATGGCGTTCGACTTCTCATTAAATTTCGTCTTTATTTCAATCCATCAATACTTATGTAACTGTATTTTTCTTTTGTTCATTTGCACAATTCTTACTGTACTACTTCATGGGGTAACACATACACCACTCATCTTACTTCAGTTCAGACAATTCAAAACCAAGCGATAAGAATTCTCACGTCAAGCCCATATCTCTCTAACGCCAAGTCACTACTTCACGAAAACAATATATTAACTGTATCTGAGCTAGTTAAATATAACCTTGGTATTTACATGTATAGAAATATAAATAACCAACTTCTACACTTTACTACCATTCTCTCAAATAACAATGTCACAAGGTTTGCCCTTAACAATAACTTTCTACTGCCAAAAGTTCGCACCAATTATGGCAAACAAACCATTCATTTTTCTGGAATTTCTTTTTGGAATAGTTTACCTTCCGACATTAAAGTATGCCGTTCCCTGAAGGTAATTAAATTGAAGTTAAAAATCATATCATGTCAACTAACTAGCCTGTTTTGCTGTTTCTTAATTGATTCCTGTTCATTGTGAGTTGCGTTCTGTAATCACTTGTCATTGAAATTAGCGCGTTATTCTTGTTTTTAAATTGTTTCTGTGAGATTACAAGGGTATATTCTTACTTTATTTGTTTCAATTGCATTTTACTGTAGCTCTGTCTCCCTGCTATGTACATCACAATCATTCTCAATTCTACATTGTACAAAAGGTCCCCTTGCAGTCTATGACTATGGGACCTCTTTCTGTATATCATGCACATGTATTTTTCTTCATTTAGCACAATAAAACCTTCTGTTCTGTACTGTTAGAACAGGCTTCACGCGAAGTACTGAATCAGTTTCTGCCTATGATGCAGTGCTTTGGCATTGAGCGAGACATTACGAAGTGAATAGACGTGTTTCTGTAAATGCAGTAGTTTTATGCACGTCGGCACGTCGACTGCGCTGGTGCTAGAACAATAGCATGCATTATGACCTAACATCAGTTCTCACGAGGAGCACAGATGAAGAGCGAATTCGTAAACCTCTTATCCTAGTTTACCGATATGCTATACATATATGCGGAGACATTAAATTTATTGTTCAGCATACTTGCACGCAATGTCTGCGCCTCCTTGCACCTAATCTCACTGCTTTCATTGTAGTTGAACTCGTAGTGCCAGTAAGTGATAATTAAGGCAGATAATCTATTGATGGCTTGCGACGTGAAAAAAAGGCGGTTGTTTATAAAGTGTGGTTTGCCAACTTTACAGAATCTTCGAGACTTTATGGCGAAGTCACCCTTCCTAGAGCTGGTTGGACTTGAAGCGATAGAGAACATGGAACGACCTGGCGCAATCAAGACCCACCTGCCTTTTAATCGTGTACCTTACTCTCCGCAAGCGAAGTACATATTCGTGGCCCGAAACCCGTACGACTGCTGCGTTTCTTTCTACCATCATACGAGGGCGTTCCCGGCCTACCGCTTTGCCGATGGATCATTTGATACGTTTCTAGACAAATTTCTAGCAGGGAAAGTGGACTGCGGTGATTATTTCAGGCAGCTGCTTTCGTGGTACGACCATATCGATGACGATAACGTCCTCTTCGTGACGTATGAAAACTAAAGTTACACACCAGTGAGGAAGTCATCAAGATCGCCGATTTTCTCGGAGAAAAGTGTGGCGAGAGACTACGCAGTCGACCGGACATACTGGAAAGGATCTTGGACACGATCAGTGCGAAGACGATGGCAGCGTTCAACGATGAGTTTAGAAAATGGACCGAAGAGGCTGCCGCAATGACGTCATCCCAGGGAGGTGAGATGGATGACAATGTCAAAAAACCAATGACTGGAGACTTTGTACGCAAAGCGATTGTTGGCGACTGGAAAAACCATTTTAATTCCGAACAAATCAAGCGCATGAAGGAAAGGTTAACGTCAAAAGTCCAAGGCAGCTCTGTCATGAGTCTTTGGGAGGGCGTGGAGCTGCCGTGAAAAGGGAAACGTTTCGTCGAAATTTTCTGTGACTTCTCGTCCAAAGACAGACTTTCACTGATCTTATCGATAAATTTTTATTAGTTTTGTCATCGAGGTAACTTTAATATAATCTACGTTTTGAGCTTTGTACCGCAAGCCTGTGATTATTTAGAAAGCAAGTGAAGTGCATGTGGTTCCTTGTTACACAGAATTAGCAGTCACAATGGCATAGCAACCGTTCGAGAAATGTGTATGCCGATCAACTGTCAGTTAAATTTTTTCCACGTGTGGTGTATAAGTAAGTTATATGACTTCAAATAACTTTTCGCTCGACGCGTTGTGGCTCACACATCTGTGTGAGCAGATGTGTGTCACTCTATTACTCTTCAATTGCTACGAAAAGCGGCAGAAATTGTGCTGAACCGATGTAGGTTTGGTATAGGGTATGATGAATGCCTGTTTGAGCACGCTATGTAACTGCCGGGGACGTCTCAATAAAAGCACTTTGAACTTTGGACTTGGAATTACGCTGATCTCTTTCCAACACCTAGCTTTCCTACTATTTAGGAGTTAGCTATAAGAGCACACAACACATTTCTGTTCTGTTTATTAATACGCACTGCGATTTAACCGACGGGTACTAAACATGAATTTCTAAATGGAGAAGAATTGCGAGAAATAAACTTTTGAACCCACGGACAATTGTGCCGTATTCCTTGCAAGTATCCAGTAGAACAATCGCGCGTAATCTATGCTGATATGACCAGCAAAAAAAAAACTTCTGAAATAATTGCCGTTGAAGCCCCCCCCCCCCCCTTCATGTTTTTCGTTGGTCCCAAAAGAAAAAAAGTCTGCGCTGCACTGACTGCTGCCCCCGGTCTCGTATCGCAACGAACGTGGCAGCCGCTTTTTCGTCAAAGTTTATCGTCTTCATTCCTTTCTTTCTTCAACACCCACCCTGCTTTTTCTAATTTTTCAAATGGTACCATTCAATCATCGCCTAATGTCCATCGTAGTCACCGATAGCCTGTTCAAGCGACCTTCGTGCGTGAGAAGCCTTCGATAATTGGTCCAACTTGCATTTAGGTTCACTCAAAGCGCCGCGCGTTAGGCGGCAATCACGTGTTATTTGTCGAATTTCACGCACTTTAGACAAACCCTCGAAAAAAAAATTAACCAGCGTTGTTATCTTAGCGTAACTTGAAAATTTTGGTTTTTCTGGACGAGAGTTGCAAGCATTGTATTGAACCTTTTTCTCTAGAGTCAGTACTTAAGAATTTGTTAAGCTATCCTTGTTAATTACCATGCTTGGCGCATCAAAACATATTCTGATGTGCTACATACATCTAAGAACAATACTGTGCTGGTTAAAGACGCGTATCACTTATTTTTATTTTTTATTGCTTGGTGCTTTTTAGCTGAAACACCCTGTATGTGTGGGCGGCTCTATTGATGCGTTGTTCACGCCGACTTCGTTATTGTAACTATCGTGATTAGTGAAGACAGGCCGTATTGCGCCACACGTTAATAAAGCACTGTATTTATCTTTTCTTGTGCTGACATTTAAGTTTATTTTAATATATACTTTGTGCTTGCTGTGACATGGCGAAATCCATATACCACAGCGAACTGCTCAAACTTGGTGGCGGCGAACTGAGGACCATTGTCGGTTACCACACACTCGGGTATTTTATACTTAGCAAAAATATCATTCAGTCTATCAACGACCATTCTCGACATAGTGGACGGAAGATTGGCTACCTCGGGGCATCACGTAAGATTATCCACGGCAACAAGGTATGCCAGGCTGTTGATTATGCACAAGATCTACTCTCACTCTCTCAAGTAAATGATGATGTTGTGGTTGCTATCATAGGCTAGGCTCGTCGCTGAGCATGCTGTGCGCAAACAGTGCACTAATACACGAACTGGGACAGTTCGGAGGTCAACCCTGGCCACCAGACAGAACATTTAGCAACACTGTGACAACGCCCAGTACCCCGATGCTCATGAAATCTGCGTAGCACGTTTTTCTTGGAAACAGTGGGATTACAAGGAGTGTTTTTTCAGCAAACGACCATCGATCATATGAGGCATGCTCTATCATGCCAGTAACGCTTGTAGAGAGAACGTACTTTCGTTTTTTTTGCCAATTTGCCGTACACAGCCCACGCAGGTGTGTAGATATGACGTCATTCATTTGAGACTATCGCACTCTAGACAAGTTCCCAGTTTCTAAGCAAAGCAAGCACGTCTTTGAGTATGCTGTGGCATCTGACACCCTCAAGTAATTTTTAAAATCGTGGAATCCCCCTGATGACCTCAAAAGGGTGTTGGCTGTGATGCAATTATCCGGGAACGTACAGGATACTGAAAAGATAGCGCATTGGACTTAGCCGAAATCGCTGAATTCACTGTAGCATACCATCAATGGTCATCTGCATTTTTAAGAACACCAAAGGCTTGGGATCAGTCTCGTAGGTAACCTTTAGGTCACGTATGTACTCGTCAAATCTTTTGGCTGTCCACGTGAGGGCTAGTGCTTCTTTTTCTATCTCGGAGTATCGCTGTTCGGTGTTCGCGAGGAACCGATCCGCGAAAGCTTTTGGTCTACCACGACCATCTTTCTGCGTTTGCGAAAGAACATCTCCCAGGATAAAAGAGGGTGCGTCCGCTGAAATGACAGTACGAAGGGTGGTATCGTATACGTTACCATACACTGCATAGAACAAATTAGCCCTTTGATTACATATGAGTGTCGAACAATGCTTTACGACATCCTTACTCTTCTTAGCTGCTTCGCCACTCAGCCACAATGTTGCGAAGACTTCGCAGGCTTGGTAGCTCATTGTGTAACGTATGGTGTGCTACCTGGACCTCTCCCGAACGTTGATCTAGAAGGTGTGACGAAGCAGTAGTCATTGAAGTGGTCGATTCACGCAAGCTACTCAAGCGTTTTGTCGAAGTCTATCGTTGGTCGCTGCTGGAGCCCCAGAATCACCGTTGCAGGCTTGTTCGCCATTTGTGGGAGTTCAGCTGCCCACGCACTTTGCGAGATAGTTGGCCAGTCCAGACTTCTGACGCCATGTCTTGACACTGCATACGAGAATGATGCGCATGCGTTTCAAAATAGGGAGTGTTAGAATACCGTTTGCAAGTGCTAGGGGCGTTGTGGGCATAGCGGGTGCCATATGAGTTTTAGAATAGCGTTTGCCCTGCTGCAAACCGCAACGCACGATTGCAGCGACACCGTAGTCTTGACACCAGCGTTTGCGGGCCACAGTGCGGGCCGCGATCGCCGCACGCTATTTCGGAATTTCTCCACGCGAACCGCGAACTGCGAACGCCGACTCGCGTAACGGCGCATGCGCAGTGGCAGTGACCGCACCGCAAGGGCTCACTCACGGTGCGCTATTCTAAAACTCCCTAGTAATCAGTCGACGAGCTCCACTCTAGGTGGCGAGAATGAAAAAAAAATAAAACGCCCCTCTAGAATGTGTCGTTATAATATACACTTAGAGGGACAACACAAGCTAAAGGTAGATCGGTGTACAGAGTTGTACACTGATCACGCGAAGGCCTTGTAACATCATCTCATGACCAGTGAGTCGTATTCCTCAAGCCATCTTACCCTCCCATACTTATTTCGGTTTATCCCATGTTATAAGGGGGTGATCACGAGTGCAGCCAAACGTAGACGGACGGACGGACGGACAGAAGCACTCAACGGGTCTGCAGTTTGCTGAGAAACGCTTCGCATTTAATATAAACCACCGTGATATAAACATATCAAGGTTACAACAAGGTTCGAACCTGTGTCGTCTCCAGAAGAGCCAGTATCCAGAGCAGCCGTCTGCAGAGGAGCCAGTAAGGAACCGTGTTTACATCTGTAATGTGGTGTGTGTACACTATGAAACAGCGAGTTCATTGTGTGTCGCCATATTTTTATTTTTAGAATGTCCATAGATCGTGCCCTGCAGTCTGCAGAAGACTTTGAGCTACATACTATAATAAATGGTAAGGTATAAATGGTAATGATAAGGTATAATAAATGTGAACAAAGAAAAACGTCGCTTTCGACTCAGTCCGAATCTGATATACGCTTACAGTCGCTAAGAAAAACTAGAATTTTTAGCCGGCATACCTATAGCGGCATACCTAAAAACACACTCTAGCTTGCGGTGATGCACCGCAGGTGTTTATCATTTGCCGGTCATGCCCGATAATGAGCATGACTGGGAAATGATATTGTAGCACAATTTTTCAGTGCTACAGTGACGCAGCCTAAAACCACGGATTCGCCAAGTGACCGTCAAAGCTTGTTGCAGTTTGAGTTGAAATCTATACTTTCCGCTGCGGACATTCCTGCGCATCGCGTTAAATTCGTAAGAGTACGCCGTTAAATTTGTACTCAACGTGTTCAATGTGTGCATGCGCGCGAAAGTTGTATTATATCCTAATTTTGGGTTGCAACCTGTGAAAATGTACGGTAATTATTTGGGGCCGTATGCTACAGGCATAATACGCATGTAAATTTACTTACTCGTATAACGTTTACTTGGTATATTGTTTTTCCAGTTGACTGCAATTATCCTCCGGCGGTGGAGTACGATGTTTTTTGTTACGGAAGGAAGTATGTACAACTTGAAAACACCACACCGGCAGTTATTTTCCGCATTCTGTTGTAATCTTCACAGACAGTACTGAGTGATACCTTTCTCTTGTGCTAATTGTTTTTTCATCAAAGACGGCGCAGTGGTGCCCACACGACTTCTCGTAAGCGGGAGCGGCGTCTGTAAGCGCATTCTCGTATTTTACAGCCCCCGAGACGCACATGTTATGTTGTCGCCACTGATACGCACCTTGGCAGCTCAGAATAAAATTGCTGTCTGGTTGAAAGAGTATGCGCCGGGAGCTTTGGCGCCTGGGCATGAGAGTGCGTTCTGGTTAATAGAAGAGTGAAATACCAGCCATGCATTGCAGAATGGGATTAATAAAACCAGCTAACCAGGTTCCAACGATCCACTCGTTACGCAGTTTGTATTGTGTGCGCAAGATATCAACTCCGTAACGAGTGGATCGTTGAATGCGTCCAACATATTACAAAAGATGCGGCAAAAATTCTTGATCGTCATTCTCCACCACATCAACAAAGTGTACTACATAGCGTTTTGCGCGAATTCTTAGCGGGTGCCTCGCGTCTCTGCAAAATAAGGAATACTAGCACTAGCGCGTGCTTCCAATCTTAACGAAAATTGTGATTTATGGCGTCACTGTCTTCATTGAAAGGATACTTCAATTGGCAGGCACAAGATAAGTTTACAACGGGTCATCGGAACATTGATCTTCTAGCTATCACCGCTTCTGTGCAGCGCTTTCCACGTAGGCCTGACATTTTTTTTTCTCTATCTAATGACGTTTTACGACGGTCTGTTTGGCAACACCAAACGCGGAAGTGATATCGCGTTAACAAAAAGAAATATGAAATAAAAATACAGCGAAGTTCCTCATATGCAAAAATTGGGATACAGTAAAACACAGGCATCTTTCCGCGCTGATATTGGAAAGAGATGCTCTTTGCACGAAACAGTGCAGCCATACTTTGCCGCGAATAATGTGTCCCCATCTCAAGTGGCCCTATTGCGACGCCCTTGCCGGAATGCGAGAGAGATAGATAGCGCGCTTGCGCAACGCGAGAAGGGAAGGCGTTACCTGGCGCCATTCCAGCTGGATCAAAGCCGCACACGTCCGGTGGTTTCTGCGCGGCACGCCAAGTTGCCGACTAGGGTTCTTTCAGTCTCCGAGTTCCTTCAAGCGTAAACACCTCGACAACTCAAGGCAAGTGCTCCACTTCTGTTCACTGTTGTATTCTAATTGCATTACAAAGGGTAGCGGATTGCGCCATAGTTGTTATGTCATATAGCGATTGATATAGCGCAAACTGAATACCAGGACACAGAAGAAAAGAGGGACAAGCGTTAGCGTCTGAGTTGACGGTGGAGAAAGAAAAATATAAAGCCCAAAACGACAAAGAACAAGAATATCTGTCTCGCTGTACACGTCTCCAATTGGTGCACTGATCAGTACAATGGCAATTGTACTGCTCAGCTTCAAATCAGGGATCCCGGAACAAAACTAACATCCACCCATAGCTAGAGGCCAGACGCGAGAATATTCATATGCTTTTGTTTAGGGACGCGCTTAAGAACCCCATTTCTTTTGAATAAGCAGAGAGTCCGTTGTAGGTCATTCGAGAAGACATTTACGTAGATTGTAAGTCTTGGTGAAGTAACGTGGAAAAAGGATACAAGAACGAAGGGCAACACAGGCGTCAACTGCTATGTCAGAAGCTTATTTCGGAGTGGTCTTTATTTAGGAGTGAAATCGCATCACGCGAACAGAATAAGCTACATAATAAAAAAAGGTAATGCAACTGAAAGGCGTGTGTGAATATACAGCCTGAACGTTTTTTTTTTTTTGTTGATAAGCTGCTCAATGAAAAGGAAATGTTCCTAGGGGCACATTTTATCACGCACGTCAAGAGAAAATATGCCCCTTGGCATATTTGCTATACTGTCATCCCTAGCATGTGCATGACTCCTTAATTATAACGAATGAGTGCTGAAAACGAAATAAAAATAGAACGCCACTCAGGAAGAGACACAAAAGATTATAGCGTTAGGTCAGCGCTCACCCTTTCTGTGCCGTGAGAAAAGGGGCGTGCCCTTCTCCTTCCTTCTATTTTGCATATCATAATCAGATATGTGTTCAGCTACAAGAAGGTTCTTCACACACATTCTCGCGAGGTGTCCCGTTCGTAATGTGCGCTTTTAGCGCAGTACGCTTTTAGCATATATCCTTTCGACGCGAAGCAGTGGTGTAGCTTTCAGGCGCAGGACTCCTGACCCGCATAACCCCCGATCGAATTCTGAACATGGCGGCAGCGTTTTCAACAGGGGCGTGAATGCTTGAGGCCAACGTACATATAATTGCGTGCAAGGTAAAGAACCACAGGTGGTCGAAATTCCAATCCTTGGAGTAACGTTCTCCCTCATAATTGCATGGTGGTTTTGGAATGTTAAACTACAACAGTTAATACTTTTCAGCACTACGATTTCAGTTTTTGAAGTGTGGTCACTACGTCGCTTCACTGCACTATTGCGTAAGCACTTACACTTCTTTCTATCTCTTCCGGCCCTGACTGTGTCAACTGCGGATATTACAAAATATTTCCCCTAGCAACATTGAAATGAAGCAGAAACTGCTAATCCTTAAACGTGGATTGCTCTTATAATCCCCACTGCAATTTGAAATCACCTCAGTGGCATGTTTGCGTGGCTAGAAGCTGACATAAAATAGACACCTCACCGAATTTATGGGTGACGCCAAGGCGGATAAGCAAATGTGGATAAGTACTGTTTACGGGAATGTCCCAAAGCTGTTTCAACAATTTACACACTGCGAAATAATGACGCTGGTTCAGCTTTTGTATGTTCTTGTGAGGAGCAGGAATAATTTATTCCCATTTAAGAACCACTGAGCCCAGAAGAGCTAATTTCACACCGCGCATGTAATTCATAAACCATTGTGTCACTGACTCACTTTTGTTGGTCACCCGAGGTCTTAGCAATCAGGGAAACACGTGGAAATAAATCACTCGGCCAAAGTAAGGAATCCAGGGCTTAACCGGTTAAGCGAATCACAAATTTCGGTGGTAGTGTCATGGAGTAAAAACGAGGCACCTATGACGGTACAAATAAGCGGCCCTCGAAGATGCTCCAATGTCAGGCTCATGTTTATGTGTGATTTCCCGTGAAGGTCATCTTTCTAGATATTGGGCTCGTATGCAACCAGCCTCTGCTCATATGGCAGCCTGGACTCATAGCGAGTTCATTCGTCAGTTCACGTTGACGCATTTGATTGCGGCATGGTTAAGAACACACGTGAGTCATTGCTGCTCGTAGCAACCGCAGTGTTTCCCCTGCTGAGTACGTGTATGAAGGTGCACGCCCCAGCGTAGAGCAAAAGGAAGTTTGTAGGTAGAATCGCACAATGCATTGGAAAGAAAGGGAAATTGTAGGGAAGTGGTACGTTAAATACGTGGATGCTTGTCAGTGTTTTTCCGATAGTACAAGAACCCCTGAAATATCTTCAAGCACAATATAGCCCCCTAAACAATTCTGGTAGCACCACGAGTAGGTCAGCACGGCAAAGATCGTTTTCGTAAAGTTCTGTAGCTAAACATATGCTCCTTAGACTTAGTAATAAAAATTTGTTTAATGTGTTGGACAATGAAGCAGAGGGCGTAACGGCTTTCGAAGCGCTTGACTCATCATTGAAATAAGCGCTTTCATAGCTGCTACCGCAACCATACCACCGTGTGGAAGGTATGGCCAAAGTCAGTGTGTTTTACGTTTTTGCAGAATATTTGCAATAGGCGAGGTTAAGTAGGAGTGAGATTTGCGGCAGCAGCCAAACAGTTAGTAAATTTTGATACAAATTCTTTCAGATTTTAACAAGTACTTATGCATTACCCAAGTTCGAAAACACGAGAAAAACCTCCACAAAAACACATACTTGGGTTTCCTAATGGTTCCCAAGGTTGCCTAAATGAAGCGAACGTGTAGTGCCTTTAGGGAAGCTGAATAGGACTAAGCTATGGTCTAAAGTGAGTTCGTTTGTCAAGTCGCGTCTACAAAGAATTTTACAGCTAAGGCCGATCTCACTACCCCAGCTTCCAGACGCATTCTGCTATTGTACCGCTTAAAAGGTCTGTCGCTGCCGCGGGCTAGCCTGTAGCTAAAATGGTGCGATTATTTTCTGAATGTGTACTGCTTCTCGCCTGACGGGAAGGCATGAAAGTAGTTTGAAGAAATCTTCACGCACGTGTGGTCCGCAATCCGGTTATTGCATTTTGGCCACCTAAGCCATCTGATCAGCCACAATCGTCAAAACACCACCGGGCGTTAGCTTACTCTGTCATAGTGGCATAGTTACATCTGCCGTTATACGTTATTCATGGCTGCTTTACTGTTCGAAAAACTATGACGATGACACTTACGGGAACAAGTTGGCGCAGGCGCCGTGCTGTCGTGTCCATAAGGTTGGCTTAGCCGCGGCACTATTGAACACTGGACATTGTTGCGCACCACGTGACGACACTCGCCGCATACTGGGGAAAAGTCCAAGAGAGGAGGCCAGGGCTCGGTTGATAAAAAAACGAGGCGTCATCATAGAGTACTTGAAGGAGTGTAAATATTGACGGAACAGAAGAGCACCTATAGGTACTTTTCCTGCAAATCGATGGACATAAAGTTACTGAAAACAATTATCAGATGAAACTTACTTGATAATGTGCTGTTAGTGTCTATTTAGCCTATACTCTCATAAGGCGACACGCCATAAAAGCTTTAATTATAGCTCTGTGGCTTTTGGATGCACAATTTTTTTTTTCATTTATTTGGGACAAAATTTACACAGGTACCGTAAATTCCGTGCTTCAAACTATTATCATGCCGTCTCCCATTGTATTTCAATGGACTACTGACTGTTTCCGCCCCGCAGTTATTCGTCATGAGCTCAAGAGGTGTCTACCGAGATGTGTGTGGCATCTACCTGTCCTGGCCATTCCGGGATCACATCATCGAAGAAGTGCTCGCTTACAAGCCAAAACCAGGGGATGTGTTCGTCGTCTCCTACCCGAAGTGTGGCACAACATGGACGCAGCACATACTCTACGCCATATTTAACGACGGCATGTCACCAAAAGTGAGCAGCACTCCTCAATATTAACCGTGGAGCATCCATATAACGTCTTACAGAGTTCGTGAAGGGGCATAGCTGATCAAAGTGATAATGTTTTCAGTTCTTAAATGGTCAACAACCTCACATTTATTGGGCAAAGTCAGCTGAATTTTAAGAACCAACGTAATTCTCTTGTGGGCTAAATACTTTTCTGTAAGCAATAATTTTATCGTTAGACACTGCATCATAAGCTCTACAAATGAAGATTTTTAGTTACGACTGCGTAATGGTGGAAGGAGAGAGACAGAGACGAAAGAAAAGAGCCCGGAAGTTTGGTCCTGGTTGGCCAACCTACATGAGGCGCGGGGAAAAAAGAATAGCAAAGATGGGTGAAAGAAAAGGAATTAAAGAAGCTAGGGAGCTTATCTAGCGCTTTACCACCTCCGAAAATAGGAGGAGAAGAGGACGTAATGTACGCGAGCTAGAGGAGACAATACATGGCAGCACACAAGTCTATACACCTGACTATATACTTGAACATCAACGAGAACATAGAATCAAGCCAATTAAATAATTGACAACGGATGTTATTGCACAGTGTATATAAATGTATAGGGGGTATTTTAAATCGGATATATTATTATGAAAATGGATACAATAGATATATGTAGGGGCATTGTAGTGTAATTGTATAGACGTTAACGTAGACAACAAGCTGCCTTGTCACCAGCTCAAAACGAATCCATGAGCTCCGAATCACCGGTCAGATGCCCTACAAATTGAGCTGCGATGGTGATCCTCCTCTTTTCCAGTTCATCGGCTGTTTCTGCGCATTAAAACATGGGAGAATTATCATTTATCGGCGCGTTGACAACGGGCGTGCAACGCTCTTTTTCGGCCTGCTTGTGTGACGTGGCACGTCATCTTCTCACGAGCTGGCAGCTGACTTATTATCGCTTGCATACTACGTTAATGAATGCTGTCTGTCATAACGAGACCATCTCCACGAATTAGCAAAGGAGGGGGATTAAAAGAGGCTGTTTTTGTTTGTTTACTACAACCCTGACCATGGCTTCCACGATTAGTTTCTTCAATGCATCATTTCTAAACATGTCTCAATCGAGGCGTTTGTAATAGGTGTATGTGCAATTTTGTCATCGCCAAACACACCCCCAGGTGGCTGTCTTACCCTGAGTGTCGGTGTCGCTCATAGCATTCATCCATACATAGCAAAAAAATTGCTAGCAAAGCCTAACGCAATGTGCCTGCTTCATCTGGATTATAGTGAGCTAGTTCTGGATGTACTAACTGTGCGTTCACCGCTTACGCTCGCCTCGGGAAAATTGTGATCGGCTAACCATTGCGTTTCCCTCTGGTCGGATTGTGGTGTTCATTAACTAATTATGTCACGAGCAAGTGACCTTAGCCCAAATTCGGCGTCCAATCAGTCGAGTTCTTCTGGCTGTCACATCGCTTTTTCTGGTTCCGCACTCAGCTATGACAACGAGGGTTCGTTTAATCAGTACTGATGATTGTCAATCATCGGGAAGGAGGCAGTATTACTAAGCGTTAAAGTGAATGCATCCAAGTTAAGCGGTGTTATAGCTGTCAAACACCAATAGATTTTGCGCAAGCTCTCTATCAGTGTACCTACAGTAAACATTACACGATTTCTGTAAGCAGAAGATTTACTTCCGTATTTTAGCGATTTTTATGATGGAGGTACCGAACATGTTTCTTTTCGAGCTTTTTTTCTATCATGTGCTGTTTCTTGTCATACGGCTCAAGAATTTAGACTGTCTTTTCATGCATGTGACGAGTCGCATAGCGCTCCCTTTAGAAAGGGACGTTGACTCTTTTTTGGAGTGTTGTGGGACGCACTACTTTCCAAACGAGTCGCCGCACGACTCTGCTGAAGAGCGTCAACGGGCCCACTCAAAGGAAAGTGCTACATGTTACAATGAGAAGGTACATGTGACACTTAACCGCATGAAAACAAAGTCAAATGGCACCTTTTTTTCATAGAGTGCAGGTTCGCCTTACTGTTTATTATTTGTCCTTTTTTGTACAGAACATGGAAGAATTCATGACGAGGTCGCCCTTCATGGAGATGATAGGCGTAGGAGCCGTGGAGTCGATGACACGACCCGGAGCCATAAAGACGCACCTTCCTTTCTCAAAGCAGCCGTACTCTCCGCAGGCCAAATACGTATACGTGAGCCGCAACCCGTATGACTGCTGCGTGTCCTACTTCTACCACTGCAAGTCATTTCCCTCTACCACCTCACCGATGCTACCTTCGATACGTTCTTCAATATGTTCCTCGAAGGTAGAGTAGAGTTTGGAGACTACTTCGATCACCAGATTTCCTGGTACGACCACAGGAACGACGACAACGTGCTTTTCATCACCTACGAAGAACTCAAGAAGGACCCGCGAGCCGGAATCGTCAAGATCGCCGATTTTCTGGGGGACGAATACGGCAAAAAGCTTCGAGAAGACCCACAGCATGTTGGAACGGGTGCTAGATGCGTCCAGCCTAAAGAACATGAAGGGTTCAACGAGGAATTTACGAAGTGGGCCTGAGAAAGCCAAGGTGATATTGGAAGCGACGGGGAGGTACCGGGAGCCGGACGCCGAAATGCGGGAAGTGTTGGCAAAGCCGATGACTGGAGAGTTCGTGCGCAAGGGTATCATCGGGGATTGGAAGAACCACTTCACGCCGGACCAAATAAAGCGTATGAAAGAGAGGATAGCATTCAAGACGAGCAACAGTACTCTGATGAGTCTGTGGAAAGATGTTGATCTCCCGTGATTCCCCGGATTTCTTGGTTGTGTGTCGCTTAACATTATTCATCTGCCCCTTCCCACAAGTCGACTGCGTATAGTTCCGCTGTGATGACGCTTCATAGCGGACAGACAACGCGCAAGTTTTATTGCAAGCTTCTGTGCTGGTGTAAATCGTTCCACTGACGTACAGCTCAAACATTCGTGTTCGTAGTTTGAGCTAGACTTCTTTGACCACACGGCATGGGGTCAATGATTTTAACGAAGACAATATTTTAATGTCGAGTTTCCTTGAGGACGTTCAGTCGTTTATTAGAACGAATTTTTATGATTTTGCTATTAACACATTTTTTATAGCATGTAACAGCACCAGTATCTACAGTACATCAGTGGCTTCAAAAATATTTTGCACGCTCATGGAAACAGTGTCACCGTTTCTATAAAGACTTGCATTTTTCATGTTTATTATTTACTTGGAAATGCGTGCAGGTTGCTTTGTGACGATGGCTGACGTTCCTAAAGTTGTTACAACTGTATACGGTGTAATGCCAACTGAATATAAAAAGCGCAACACAACACAATGGCTTTTTACAATCTGCATTTTTTCACAGAAGGATAAAACTGACACAAGCTACATCAGAGAACGTTATCTCCAGAGAAATAATTATCGTTATTATTCTGATAATGCAAAAAATATGAGACAAAGGAAAGTAAGTTACATGTAGGACAAACACTTCTATAATACAGCACTACCTTGTTGTCCTTTATAGTCTTTGCGCTGTCAGTAAACATGTACCAACTATCAGCCACATCTTAAAGCTTCTAGGGTAAAGTATACGCTGGTGGTCTCATCAGCCCGTAACCCTGTGCATTGTGTCAACCCAACACCCAAACTTCACGTTTCATTTCATTACTTTTCTTCTTCATGTGATCACTGGTGTTCTCAACGCTTCCTTTAAGCACTTCATCGTCAGATCTTATTCACAACGGCGAACCACTCGCGCTCATTCGAGAGGAAATTGCAGCTTCATTTTAAAACTGAAGTTAATCTCGAATGAAGTTTTGATTTCACAAAAGCACCGTGTACATGGTCGCGAATGTTTTCTTTACCTATTGCTTGGTGAATCGTTTTAAAATAAAAGCCTAAATGACGCTTTGGCAAACTTAAACTATCATTTTTCGCTAAATCTTTATCCAAGCTCATACATCAGACCAAAAAAAAAAAAAAACCAACTGGCGCATCTGCGTCTCATTAAATACAATCCATACAATACCTTTATTTGCATGCTTTCAGTATAAACAACTTGCAAAAGTTAAAACGAGACACACAATTGCCGTTGTTCATGCCATAACCAGGGTATTGTCACTCTGTCATGCGTTCGAAAAAAATTTCACTGCCTGTGGGTCATTCTGGGCTTCAACGTCAATGTGATGACTGCTTGTAATTTATAATACTGCCGTTATAATGTGTTCGTGATTACTAGCCACCCCCATTATTTTGCATTTACATTATGCATGCCAACCCCTGAGCCATTTGACTAACGAGAACAGGCATTAGTTTTAGAGATTTGCGTATCAAAGCCAACATTTTTATATCATTGTCAAGATTGCTGTGGCCAACGACACGAAGACTTGCCCGACACGTTTTCTAGCAAGAGCCTTAAAAGTATTTGAACTCAAAGGCTCTACCTAGTCGGCATCGCAGAGGAGTGAGGATGCTTCATTATATAGTTTCGCACACTCCTTGTCTATATACTGCAGTGTAGATTAGGAGGTGCACAATACTATGCTGCCAATCGGGTACTTAAATGGCTCTTCAGCTTTCTTTTTTTTGCGCGACAGCTGTTGTTATATTACAACAGCCTATTTCGGTGGCGCAATCGCTCACCGCAGCCGCTGGGGTTCTTAGCCACTGCCGCGCGCATGTGATGACATACAAAGTCAAAGGTCAAAGAGGATGTCAACCTAGGACATTTGAGCAGCAGTCGAGCGTTCTACCGCAGGCACCAGCTATAGTGCTTCCACGCAAAACAGTATAGACACATGTGTCGTGTTGTGGAAGTTTCATTAGGACAGAAAATATATAACCAGGCTTCACGCATTGCGAAAAGTGCTACGAGAAGGTGTCAATAGTGGGTGGCTGAAAGGTTAGCCCCCATTGCAGAAGGATAGTCAGAAATTCTTTGTCGTCATAAGCCACAGACAACAGCCTATAGTGTGCATACATCCTTAACTGTTTAGCGGGTATCCTGCTTCCCTGCATATTGACAAATAATGGTACAATGGTTCCTTCCCTACATCACGCAATTATTCTTCATGGCATAATGGCTACCTTGCAAGATATTGCGCTATGTCCCAAACTAGTGTACAGAAGGCGTCTAAGAATTTCCAGCTCGAGCAAGCTTTCTCTTGCGAACTATACTTCATGTTGCGCGTTACGGCCTGGCATTTTCAATGCAAAACTTACAGCGTCTTGGAGCGTATCTATCACTATCTCATCTATCTATTGTCTATCTATTATTATATTATATCTAATTACTCTATTATTATCTATTATCTATCTATTCTATCTAATCTTATCTCTCTATCTCTATCTATCCAGCCGCCTTTACGTTTGAGGTGCTCTCCGTGGTCACCCCTAAGCCTTGGCGTGAACCAAAATTAGCATGGGAGGGTAAGCTAGTTTGACGAGTATGACACGCTAATCAAGACATGAATATTGTCACAATACCGTCGCGCACGTCATCAAACACTTCGCGTCAGACAGTGGCACATACCCACGGGTGGGTATGTGCCGCTAGTGTGTGGGTATGGGCTACAGGGGATTGGCACTTAGTAGCTACCCAGGAACGAAGAGAACATACATTGGCAATTTTAACACGCGAGAGTCAAGAAATACCTGACAACGCTAGCGTCGACATGACGAATGCAAAGAATAAATGTCACCGTCCCAGCTGGAATCGAACCTAAGCATTTTGCGTGGCAATGAAATATTTTCCCACCGAGCTACGCCAGGTCTCGGAACTACTTTCAAATAGACGCTGATGTTTGTGAAACTTCAATAGTGGTTTGTTGCTGCATATGCTATTTTATAAACATTACATATATACTTATTTGATAAATACATCACGTCGGGTCAATGTCAATTTTGATTAGTTGCCATGCGCTGAAGTTGATTTATGTAGCAGTGTCTAGGGCCAGCATCCTCGCGAGCGTCAGCGCTTCATATCAGCTTTCGGTGTTGCTAATACGCATATTCCAGTTGGCATCGTTGCGCAAATACAAAGAACTGGTAATATAAACATATCCAACTCTTCGAAATATGTCTGTGCGTGCATATATTTGACGTCATTTTATGACGTGTCGCTCAATGAAAAAATTGCAACATGGTCACCTTCCCTCCGCATGCTTCACCTAACGTCGATTCCCAGGTACGTGGAATATGCAAAATCTTTTTTTTTCTTTATGTTTCAACGACTTCATCGTGGAGCAGGTATAAAATGGCGCAAGCCTTCACTGTTTTGCCATCATGAATGTTTTCATATGCCTAGCATTTCTTTTTGTTTTGTTTTTCTTCAATGAAGCATGCAAAGTAATATTAACATTAAACTTTAGCTTGAATTTATCTCCAACTTACATATGCCTCTATCATGTCCCTTTCTTTCAAATTACATCATTTCTTTAATTGGGGAAATATGTATGTATCCGCAGCTCATCGTCACACAGGCTAGACTCATATTGTAGATACAATATTCAGCATGCAGATGTCATCTTCTACTAGGCCAATAATTGCTACAAATGAGTGCACTATTTATCAGTAATAATAGGTGCAAAACCATTCGAGGATAAAGTAATTCCATGTCGGAGCGCTTTGTTGCCATATGTAAGATAAGAATTGCCAGCTTCATTAGTGAATAAGTTTCATTACATGTTCTCGAAGCTTCATCAGAACAAAATTGTTACTGTTAACTATTTCGTGAGCGTGAGAAAGTCCGCCACAATATGTAGCTTTCCGTAAATATAAATATTTTTTTTAATTTTATGTGAATAATATTCTGGACAACAGCTAAAGTAAAATGTCTACTATACAAAGCTAAGTGATTGTACCTTTCAATATCGTCACTTCAGAATACTTATATTAGAGTAAAATATATGAGACCATTTATGGAAAGCAACAACTGTTGAATGTCCAATAGAACATCTTTACACTTCTGCTCCCACAATAAAAAAAAACAATTTATTCTACTGAAAATATTAGTTGAAATCTCTAAGATGCATGTAAGCAAAAAAATGTAACGTCGGTGTGGCACGGGCAAGATAGTCCTTCAAGGTGGCAATATTTCGATTGGAAATTTTCTTTTTCTCGCAGCAGTTTTTGTATTTTTGCATTTCTTCAACTGCTAGGAATCATTACAAATGTGCGTGTTTTGGGAAGGTGTACTGGTTGAAGCTTGACCGTGACATCCGTAGGGAAATCAAATTCACCTCCTCTTCTGTGACGACAATGTGCTGCGAACACGAATTCTCACCACGAGACTGCTTTTACAGAATTTCTAACCACGCGTGGTCATTTTCGTTAGCACTAATCTTGTGTATTACTTCCGCTGTGAAAAAAGATGCCCGAAACGCGAATTTTCTTTGTGAAATACGTCACTTCGTTGAGGAATCTTAATCTAACGTCACGCACAGCAGGGTGCCCTTTTTGCGCTTAATATCACTATGTGCTCGCTCAGGGAGGATTTCTCTAAATCCTCAGCATATTGAGCGGACACACCGCAAATAAGGCATGTAATATTGCCGTCATTTTACGGACAATTCAACCACCATGAAAAATTGATCTGCCCCATAGCAAACGTACTGCACAAAACCTGACTACGATCGGAGCGCACTATATGTTTAGTTTATGTTTATTTTTTTAATATCTCAAGGGCCCCAGTCAAGGGGTGTTACATGAGGGGGTAGACAGTTCACAAACAGATGATTTGTTCGATGGCTTCTTTGTAATGGACGATGCTGGAGTCGAG